ATTTATTCTAACATTTTTTGTGATGCAAATTCAGGGAGGTTTTGAGAAAACCTTGCATCAAAGAACAGGAGACAGTGCATAGAAAATAGTATGTTTATGTAACTTTCACAGAAATTATCCATATTAATACAATAATAATCTAAGAACCGCTGATCCTTATACAAACTTTATTGACATAAAACTGCCAGTGCTAGTGAATGCTAAGGTAGAAGGCCACATAAGTGTCCACTGTAAAAGTTACAGCAGCCTAAATCTGATCTATTTGAGGTTTCAGCTTGGTTGAAACTCTCCTTAGTTTAAGTGTTCAAGCAGCCATATAAATAGCTAGTTTTTTACAGTTTCTCCTCTTTTAGGTTTTGTGCTTTTTCAGTCATTTACTGGCATAGTAACTCACTAGGCAATGCAGAATTCATAGTGAAGAATACTTCTGCCCTGTACTTTAAACCAGAGGTAGGTTACACAGTCCTTTTGGGGAATGACATATAAGCTGTGAAGTAAAATGTTATTTATGAGATATTCTTTATGTGCACGTGATATATTTACTTTAAAGTAGTGTTATAGTGATACTGCAGCCATGATGGCCCAGGAATTATGGGAGAGGCAAGGATTTTTGGGGGGCAATATATTTTTTTGAAGAAACTGCATGGTTAGAATAAAGTTAGACAAGCTTTTGAATGCAAGACAAAAGATGTCAGCCCCAAACAATCCTTGCCTCTCACATAGTTACTTATAGAGAAGCAAGAATTCTTGTAGGGGATCTCTCATAGAAAAGTCCTCAATACCTTTACAGGACAAGAGTAGGAACAGAAATGCATCAGCCTAATTGGACACTAAGCACCTAACTGGACATATAACATAGACAGTGGTCCATTGTGATCTTCCTAATTCTCACTATCCTCTGCACTTCACAGGTTATAATGGCCCTACTTAAGTTTTTATTCAACCTGCTATTTTGCTCAGCTGTGTCTGCTTTTTTTTCAGAGGCCTGATGAAGGCCACTGTGAAACCAGAAAGCTTACCTCTCTTTGCAACAACTAAGGTAGTTGGTTTGGATACCAAAAACGGGTCTCACGCATAAGAATTCTTGCCTTTGCATATCTCCTTGACCATCATAGTAACAATTTCACTTTTGTACTTATTTGAAATACCTTCATCATTCCTTTGCCATTTGCAAGTACATTTCTGTAAGTGTTATTAAAAGGTCTTTATTTAAGGTCTTTGTTACACATTAATTTTAGGCAGATCCTTGGGGGGAAGCACAATAGGGCACTGGATCTGGTCCCAAGGAAACACAACCAGCACCCCCCGCACTCCAATCCCAAATACAAAATTATTAAAACATGAGCACTTCTTTGATTTCCTTCCTCTTTATTTTTAAATTTTTTTCCGTGTTTTTATTTTATTCTTCAGTGGCTGACTTGCTTCATTTCACGAACCTTCCCTCACCCCCATTTCCTGCCCCCTCCCATTTCATTATGCACCCCCATCCCTTTAAGCTTCTGCCTCCAAGTTTCATGTCTCCCCCATCCCTAATCCCTCTCTTATACCCTCACCTAGAGCAGCAGCCTGTCCTGGCTCACCAGCCCTGTAATGGCAACTCACAGCTGTGTCTCCTAGTCAAGCTTCTGCTCACCAGCCCTCTAGCAGCAAGTCACAGCTGTGCAGGTGGGGAGACAGAAAAGCCACAAGGTGCAACTGCTCTAAACTTGAGCTAGCAGTAACACTGATAAACATTTGAGCAGCTCAAAGTGCAACATGTAACAAGGCCATAACACTCTCTTTTGCAGAAAGGTATGCAAAGCTGCAAACCAAAACAGCCCCTTGGTTTTTTTCAAAGGATTTCTGTCCCCACAAGTATGTATTTTCTTATAGACAATATATCATGCTGCACATTGTTACAGATATTGTTGTTTGATGTACTTTCACAGATTCTGTTTTACTGAATGTTAAACGGTTAGATCATGGAAAATACTGAATATTACCAGTAGTAGCACAGCATTTCCTCCAAGTTCTGGTTTCTAATACATGCATTTAAACAAAAATCTGTTATACTGCCATCCAGTGATTATCACTATTATTTGATAGTTTTTTACAGTTTGTAGTACTGGACTTCAAGCTTCTGAAATAAAAAGAGTATTGAAAAAAAAATCTTTGGTTATCCAGGAAGAATGATGTAGTGTTACTGAGGGCTCAACCATTATAATTAAGACAGTAATATATTTCACAGAAAAAAAGTAATTTATTAATGTCTGTACAACAGGCACAGCACAGAATCTCCCTCCTATTTCAGTGCAGAAGAAGCCCTCTAAGGCATGTAATGAGCCTTATGTCATTGAGGAACCTATCCAGAAACTGGATAGTAACATGAAGAATGCAAAAACGGGCATATCGTTGTTATATATCCTAGAAAATATTGTATGGTTACAGATTTTGCTTCTCAGAACTACCAGATGAAATATACAAATTGAACCTCATCCTTCTTATTGAAATAAATGGCTGAAGCCCTTAAAAGGCATTGTATTTTTTTCCATTAAGTATGAATGGGTTGACTAGCCTCATCTCTTTCTTTGGGGAGGCAAATGGAACACCATTATTATATATCATTTGTTTGATATGTTAGGCCAGAGTCAAGTCCTTTTTCTCTTCTGCTTCATGCAGGTGAAAATAAGATCCAACTTAGTAACAATATGGTGACCCAAGCTATATTTTCTATTGAATTTCTCTATTTATTGTTTTAGATGGATGACAATAATATTTGATTACGGTAAATCTGTCAAAACTTGGGGAAATTATGTGGAAAATGTCCAATTAGCTATAGGTAGGCAGTTTGGTATGGACCTGGACTCAACTGCAAAATAATGTAAGGTGGGCTTCTAAGTAGCAGAGAAGGCCCAAAGAGAACTGTCCCAGTACAAGAGAATTTTCCAGTGACATATTGGTAATAGCCGTTACAAATACAATGTCAGAATTGGTTCTCAGTTGCCCCAGGGAGATAATACTCAAACCAAAGATTGCTAAAATGCAAAAAAAATCTTTTTTATAATGATTTCCAGCCATTATATTAGCCCTTCTAATCTGATTACAATTGACTGGGGCCAGATGAGTAAATGAAAAGATGGTTTAATGGCTCCTTTCAGTCCCTGAATTATGCTGTGGACTTTTACTGTCAGAACAGGAGTGAAAGGCCATTTTTCCCCCCCCTTCTATTTATTCTACATATCTGTGTAAAGAAAGAGAGGCCTGTGAAACTTGAAGTATTCTTTAACTACTATACATTCATCGACACATTAAAGAAAATATTTCCTGGCTTTTCCTTTTAGTTCAAATTTTTCCTTTCCTTTTCAAGTGTTTAAACAGCCATAACAGAAAAAGTGATTGCCTCAACGTTTGTTCATTTTCCCCAGAAGTTCTTGTGAACAGTACCATAAAAAAAGAAATAGTCTCAAAACTATGGAATAATGAAACTTTTATTAATACAAAACATCCTGAGTATAAAAATAGAGTAGTTCATTCCATATACTTAAATAAAGACAATTCTAAGATCAAGACTACGTTAATTTTAAACAAAAAAGAGGTATAAACTATACAAAGACAGTCACAGAGTTCTGACATAGTATTTTCACAGTTGTCTTTGCATTCTTCTCACCCTCCTTGCATTTATCTTGACATACATCATAAGCTTGCTGAGGCTGGAACTCTTTTTTTTTTTAAATCTAAATCATTATGCATATGTATGGCACTGTTACTGTAATATAGAACACAAAATTTTAAAATATTTTATATTAAAAGGATTTATTGGTACTTACTTTCTGGATTAAATGTGTCAGATATATTGAGTAAGCAAATAGACTTGGTACCTCATAAGTTCAATAAAACAGTCCTAAACCATGAAATGAAGCAGCGAGCCAATACTTGCAACTTTCTTTTCCATCTAAGGGCTTTCAACTGTCACATCTACCAAAAACTACAATGCTGGGTTGTACTGCTGTATACTCTGCACTGCTGCTAGACTGCACACCACAGGAAGTGAAACAATTATTATTAATGCTAGTTTTAAGCTATTTGGGAGCTTCTAAGAGAAACAAAATATAAATGAAAAATACTAAATGAGAAATATAAATGTAAAGGTATTATTATTGTATGAGCACAAAAATTGGTTAATATCAGAATTGTGGCTATGCAAGGCGTTCAATATGCGGTGCAGCTGGCAGGCAGCCATGAATCTGGAAAAACTAGTCATTAGCAAACAAGTGTCTCTTTAATGTACAGCAGAGTAGGTAAGAGTATAAATTAACTGAAACATGGCTGCCCTCATATTTATAAAATATCAGCCCATGAAGTTTACATATTTTGGCAGGCCTTCATAACCACAGTGCATAGATGTGGCATGAGAACTGCACCGTCATAGCTGAGCTCAGAATCCACCAAACAGCACAAAAGGATAGCTCTAGTGACTGTTGTATAAGGTGACTTTGTTAAATGGGACTTTTTACAAGTAAAGCTATTAACACAACTGCTTTGTAAGCTTTGCTCCATGTTATATGTAACTGCTATATCTGGCACTTGGAAAAGGAATCCATTCCTTTTAACCTAGCTTGCATCGATTTGATGTCCACACAATGGATCTATTAAACTTTAAACCTACAGAACAAGATAGCTGGCTGCATAGTTATCTGCAACACAAACTTTTCTGGTTTTAGTCACAACATCCTACTTGTTCTGTCACTTCTTCCAATAATCTGAGCAAATCATTAGGAAATCATATCCAGTTATCTTCCGTTTGAAAACATACAAGGTGCTTCTCAAACACTAACAATGCTGTAGCAGACAGGGTAGATACAAATAACTCCTGCCGTAAGCAAAACCATTTAAGCTACTGGAAAATCTTTCTGTAATTGTACTTTTCCTCTTGTAAAAGTAGTTTCAAGCAGTTTATTTTCTTCGAACAGCTGAATGCAGACATCTGGAAGACCCTGAGCCTTTAGAAAAATGAGTCTGTGTATGCAATATCACTGCAGGTAAAGTCAGCTTGCAGTCACAATCAACTGTTAGCACTGTAAAAAGACAAAGACAAATGGTGAAAAATAATTATGAACATAGTGATGATTATATTAAGAAGAAACAAAAACTTTTAAAATAAATCTACCTATGTCAACTCAACTAGCATTTATCTTACAAGCGTAACATTAAATACAATATTGACTTATCAGTAAAAACATTCAGAAAAATTCTGGCCACTATTCACGGCTTGCTGCAAACTTCTATATGAAGAAACCATTGGGAATATATATTCCTCAGCCACGCGCTTTCATTACATTTTTCCTTAAATCAAGATATTGCATCTTGACAATGTTTTAAGTGTTGTTAGTATTTGGTAATATTTAGTATTTGATAGTATTGAAGTAAAGCAGAAAAGCAAAACCCACAATTTATGTCCACCATGCAAGAAGCAAGTCTCACCTGCTGGCTGATAATGTTTTTCTGCCCACATCTGGAGGAGTTGGCTCACAGTGGAAGAAGTTTTTTATCCACCAACATTTATCAAATAATTCAGGTAATCCTACAAAAGGAGATGCACCATCAGGGAATGACTGAATAATGAAATGTCAAAACTATATATATATAAAAGTTTGCTTTAGGGGATGAAGTAATACCATGAAGAACTTTATCTTGGTCTGAGAAGTTCACAGGGTCAGAACAACAGGAAGAACTGCTTGATGAAACACTGGATTCCGAATTCAGCCGAGCTGTGTATGAAGTACAAAAGCAAAACTTTGATGTTTAACTGTGTTAAAAAAATCCATGCTAAATATCCATTGAAGTCCTTTTTGACTAACACCTCATAGAAAACATCTAGATAAAAGTTTGCTGAAATAGACACATTTCGTTATTATTACACCCTTTATCACTAGTAATATTTGCGTAACAGTAGGATAACTCTTTCATGAGATAATCTACAGTTGATTCCTCCCTTGAAGCCACACATTGCTATGTAATTTGCTTGGGTAACTTTCCCAGAAGCCAATGAAAGTCCAGCGTGCTAAATGTATCAGAGCATGCAAGGCTATCAGAACAGAGGCCTGACATCTTAAATAATGAACTGATATCCTAAACCAGGCACAGAGTCGTTGCATGACCTGCCCCCAGCCACATAATAAGTCTGGGGCACACAAGAGACAAATCACTGGACCTTTAAGTCCAGTCCTTTATGTACCAGAAACACTTTGTACAGTTTATCAGGGACAAAAAGAAATTATACACTTCTAATAACAAGAAAAAATCCTTCCAGGAGGAAGAAGAAATGGATGAATAGCAGAGGCACTTGAACTCCTTAATGGAAAAAAAAAAGAAATCCCACACGAGAAAGGTGGAGAATTGTCATAAAGCAGAAACCTGGTTAAGGAGGATCTTACTTAACGTAAGGCCCCATGTCTCCAACTAACTGGGGACAGGCGTCACCACTTCCTAAGCTGATTTTAAGACATTCCCTGGTCCCGAGTGACTGCCAGTGCTCACCCCTGGAAAGCTGTCTCAAAGCAGAGGTCCCCCCCAGCCCCACTTTTCGATGCTTCTCTGATGCTAAGTCCACCTCCCCCTCAAATATGAACTACCCGGTACCCTGGGAGCTGCGGAAAAGGCAGCGCTTACTTCTGTAGTACTGGTTTTTGGCCGCGAGGCAGCCGGCCGAGGGCACAGATGCCATGGCTGCGGCGCGGCTGCAAGTCAAGGCTGCCAGGAGAACCAGCTGCGGGAGGGAGGAAACAACGAGAAAGAAATTGGTAAGAGATGGGTAAAGGATTCTCCGCCCTTCCCCAGCCCCCAAAACACACACACACACACAACTTCAGCAAACAGCACAGCCGTTTTCTCAGGGATCATCTGTAGCTGGCAAAGCGGCGGGGAGGGCTGGGCCATGCACCCTGAGCCCCC